GGTCCTTGAAAATGATGTGTTTGGGGAAGTTACCTTTTTTTAATGTTTGCTCCCCGATTAGTAAATATTGTTTCAAGTCACTGGCAGTCGTCGCTCTTAAATGTCTGTATGTGAGTGTGTGGTTTTGACTGTCCAGAAACTATGGTGACGCCCCTCTCTTTAATTTCTCTGAATCTCAGTCTTTTTCCTTTGTCAGGTCATTTGAAATTCACTCTTTCACTTTTCTAGTACCTTTACTAAGAAATTGTTTTCTTGTGTGTGTTTCTGGAGAGGGTATTACTGCATGTGTGCTTAAATGATTTATTTTTGTTGTTGCTTATCTATAAAACATAATTTTGGCTGCATGGTACATATTTTCTCTCATATTTGTCTGCAACTACATCTAATTTATCTATCTAAGCCTGTTCCCCTTTCTTGATAGCTTCTCCATTTTTCATGTAACTTTCATGATTCTGGGTCATTCATTTCATGTAATATCATTGGCAATCTTTCCTGCTCTTTGTGCTATTCAGAGGTGAAGCAAAAAGTCGCTGCTGCTAGAGCCTTCCCTACCCTTCCCCCAGAGGATCCTGAGACCAAATTGTTCGCCAAGGCCTCTAAGCAATCCAAGAGGAGTGAAACTGAACCTGAAGTCATGGTGGTAAGTCTTACAAATTTTCTCACTTCAACATATGAAGATTCATGTGAAACAGTCTCACGCCCGACAAAACATTGGAATGTATGCAAAATATGTATTGTATCATGGATATTAATTAATATCCAACTATTTCCCATGTTTTGTCTATGAGAGCTGCTACTACGAACTCTTTCACATGTATCCCTGTCGATCAGATTTTAACAGATTCAGACTATCTTTCATCCAGCAACATTATATCCTTAGCTAGCATGGTGGGACCGCGGGATGCATATGTTCGGGTAGCTTTGGGTGTTCATCTTTTCATCAATTGCATATCATGCATTATTACTGCTGGGGCAGAGAGAGTGCGGCTTTCACACTCATGGTTCCCTGTGCATGTCCTCTGTATGTGGTTTAAAGTCATTATGAACATGCTTGTTCCTTTATATTTGTGTCCGCTGCATCTATTTCATCATCCTTTTAAAACTTAATTTGTTAATCTTTTTAAAAAGCATTGGATTGTTTGTGATGTAGATTTAATTTTTTTATATTAGAAATAGGTCTACAGTTATGAAGAGGAAGAAGTTGTTCTGCAATGCTCAATGCTGATTTCAGAGAAGTAAGGGTGTCAAAGCCCTTGTATGTTCAGAAGACCACTTTCATGTTGTTCTTGTTTTATTTTGTGAGGTTGACTGTTTCAACATCATTTTGTATCCATAGTAATAAGAAATTCTGAAACTGCTCTTGTGAATTAGGAAATGTGTTTCTGTACACGTATTTAAGATATTTTAAAATTTGCTATTGACATTGCAGCCTATATTTAGACAATGATAAAAATTTTGATATCTCTCTTTCTCACTTTTGTTGTACTCTTAGCCCTAATTCAATAAAAAAAATCTTGTACTAATTTTATAAAAAAGCAAACTGTTGAAATTTTGTTGGTGACTTTTTCAAGGTAATACTAATTTTTCTTTGTGGACTTTTCCAGGACGCAACGGGTAACAAGATCTGGATATGTCCCTCATGTGAGGGTCCAGATGATGGTAGGCCAATGATTGGTTGTGATGACTGTGATGCTTGGTATCATTGGTATGCACCCTTTCCCCAAAACTTCCTAAATAAATTTCTAGAGAGGGAGCAATTTTTTAGTGCGTCTATTCTTGTTCCAGGGTGTGCGTCAACATTACTGTTGCTCCTGATGAGAATGAAAACTGGTACTGTCGTTTCTGCACCTTGAAAAAAGCTGATATCTCAGAGAAAAAGAAGAAAAAGAAGTCAAAGAAGAAACCTAAAGTACCTGTATGATAATAATTAGTTATCATTATTTAAAGACTTATGGGAACATTAGAAGAGAATTCAGATGGTAGTGAAATGTTTTTACTGCATTTTATCACTTTGGAATATTATTAACTTATTTTTGCTCAAAGCAATCCAAGTCCTTTTGTGGATAAAAGCACTTCACAGGTTTGTGTGTGTATGTGTTTATAGTAGCATTTTGTACTGTTTATGTGAATGAGAATTAAATGAATTGTAATTAACCATCCTTTAAGAGGTGGAAATATGTATGTTCAATATGTGGTAGGACCTCAAGTTAACCCTTGATTCTTAATCACAAGTGTATCAAAGTTTTCTTTTTTCAGCAAGATTGTCTGCCTTGCTGAAGAAATTTTATGTACAGTGTATATAGTATACAGGACTTTATATGGTTGTAAATTCTTTATGATTTTTTTTTTTGTGCAGTTGATTTTGATGGACATTTTAGCTAACTGATGCAACTCATAGACATATTTGTTGTTGTTGGGCTCCTAGTCTGAAACTGAAGAATTAATTTGAAATGAATCAGTTCATCTTTTGTAGTGTAGTTACAAATTATATTTACTTGCCTCAATGTTCATTGGCTAATGGTGATACTCAACATTTCATATTTGTCCCAAAGTATGTTTTTATGTATGTATGTAGGAGAAATGTTACTATTATGGCAGTTCAGTGCACCCTACTATCTTTTCCATTCATTTTATCACCTCTGTATCATGAAATCACAGTTATATAAAAGTAGGTGTTAGTTTCTTATGAATCTTTTCCTCTCATACACTCCCTTACAAAGGGGTTTCTGATTAGCTCAAAATTAAATTGAACACACCCTTTAATTTATATTAGTAGTAAATAGGGGTTGTTTGTTATTGTTGTTTTGTTAATAAGCAGGGTTTTGTCATATTGACACAAAAATTCTAAACAGTTCTTCTTGGCATAAGTGCAATCAATATTTATGTGTTTAATGGTAACCTAAATGTCAATACATAACACTTGTTGCTTCAGTTTATGTTGATGATGTAACCAAATGTTATTATTAGTCAGTTCTCTTCATTTTAATATTCAATTTGGTATGAGCTTCAGGTGGTACAGGAATATTTCAGTGTGATCACGGACATGCTGTTGGCTTTACTGTACACCAGTACAGTTTCATGGCTGAACAGTTAATGCTTTAATTTTTAAAAAAGGAAAATAAACTTTATTTGACAAGTTTACATTGAAATCATCTAGTTTTTTTGAGCAGTGAGTAAGAGCAATTTTTTTTTTTTTTTTTTTTTCCAAAAGCGCATTTGTAGAAATTGTAGATACCATCAAGCTTCACCAGTTCTGACTATCTTCATTAGAGAGTGTAGATTGTTGCTTTGCAATGCTGACCTACTGAGGTTCACAACATCCGCTTTACTTTGACCAACTGAAAGAGAGGATAGTTGACCCGATCTATCATACTCACAGTCACTCAGGAAAAGAGAAGTCATCTAACAAATATCCGTTTTACGTACCTCTCAGCCTAGCAGCCTTTTGAATTGTAAGATTTATTTGTTTCAAAATATCAAGTAACTCATTGTGGTTACTGCATCTTATGTTATAACTGTTAATGAGATCGTCATTCACTTCCTTCAGTTGTGAATGCCAATCTCGCATGCTTTTTCTAACCAAAAACAATAGTTCAACATAAATTTCTTCCATTTGTTCCAAAATATAAGCAGATTTTCAAAATTTGTTTACTTACAAGTCAGGTAAAAGCCTGGCATCCTCAGCTCGAACAATTAGATTTCGAACAAGTCCTGCACGATGGGCAAGATCTGCTCCTAACTGAATACGGACTTCTTGAAGATTTGAAACTTTTTCCAGCCACTCTCCCAAGTGAGCCAATTCATCAGGAAATTCAGCTATCACCTACGGCATGGAAAATCATTTGTGTCTATCCTTGCACATGCCACCAATTTAATGTTTTGAACTATAAATTTTCCATTACTTGCAGATTTGACAGATTGAGGAAAGAAGCTAGGGACTGCACAAGGTCGCCAGCAAGAGTCATGTTAGGTGTAGATATAACAACTCTCCCTGCAGGGTGCATGGATATATTAAGGAGTGATCCATCTCTCAAGGCTGTGAAGGAAACAGATAAAGAGCCTCCACTGGCCTCTTGCTCCAGTTCAGATGACAGAAGGAAATTTTGATTTATCCACAGGATGACCTGTGGTGTTTCAATGTTTCTTTTTAGTATACTTTAAGAGTGCGCCCATTAGCGCAATAGCTTGTTCTGGTTATACTGTACCTGATGCAGGCGTGCGGCCGGGACGGGCTTGCCTATCATCGGCCAACGAGGCGCCTTACGACTTCGTGCGAGTACGCAATCACGCCTGCATCTAGTACAGTATAACCAGAAGAAAACGGCACAGATGGGCCACCTTGTGTGTCCTTTAAACAACTATTTTACACATCAGTATTTTACTTTCACTTACCCTTTGAACTCTTTCACTAATGAAAAATGAAACAAAGTTGTGAGGCTGGTCTTGTGAAAGTGGTGCTGTAGCTGACATCAGAGTGTACATGGCAAATCGAGGTAAATGACGGGTCAGTTCAAATACATGGAATTGCTCGGTGCGGGGAAGACCCACAAGAGCCTGAAGGACATAATATACTTTAGTAGAATAACTTAAAATCGCAAGCTTTTCTCAAGTTGCAAGGTACACCAATCAAACCTTAATGTGGATGTCTAAGGGAACATCACGAGGTGGGAAGAGAGCAACCCTCAAACTGGATGACAGTTCATCATCATGAGGATGCACTACATGAGTTTCTCCAGCAAATATTCCTTCAGCGAAAACCAGCACTGCCCTTATTATAGTCTCATTGTTAGTTGTGAGACAAAGTTCCACATGAGGCTAGTTTTTATTTGTTTTAAGAAAAAGAAAATCATTAGTTCAAGAAATTTAGTGTGTTGTTTTCAAGAACACACAAAAATCTGATGAGAATACTCACACCCTTGGATTTATTTCCCATGTTAATAGAAACAGTAGTCTGCAAGCTAGTTTTCGCCTGCAAAACAGAAAATTTAATGTAATGCATTCAATTCAAGTGTTTCAATTGCAAAAGAAACTAAAATACAGACTGGTATCATTCCTGCATTCATATTGGCCTGTCCTACGGCATTGCCCGATGAACGAGTATTGCTTTCATAATTCCTCAGTTCCATCAGCAGAGCCTGTTTTTTCTGCAATAAATCTCTCACTGCATCCTGATGCACATTGCCCTCTATCAATGTCCCAAGACGTGAAGAGTCATAGCCACGAACTGAAAGTTTCAAAAAATAATTTCGAAGTGTGTATTTTTTTTTTTTTTTTTTGTTTGCAAGGAGATAGTTTGCTTAACTCTCATACCTTCACCATCAACCGAGCAACAAATCAATTGGGATCTTCCTTCAAGTCTGTAGTCTCCATCTGCTAGTCCTGCGATGCTGCAGTTGAAATTGTCTTTGAAAACCACCTCTCCGGTGCGACTATTTCTAGCATCAACTTTTCCATTTGACCACCCAGTGACAAGTTCTTCGACACCATCACCATCAATGTCATAGCTCAGTACGGAAACTGCACGGTTTTTGGACTAAGCAGATAAGGCAATACAAATTTAGTGGCAAGATTTTAAGAATCATTTTAGAAATTATTTTGGAAATTATCTGAGCACCAGCACTGCAAGATCTAAAAATTACCTTGACCCTCCAAACACGATGAAGTTTGTTATATACACCAACAGTGCCATTTGCCAGAGCGTAAGCCATTTTGCTGCCTCTTAAGGGGGCTAAAATAGTCGCTACCTCTGTTTCTGATGTTTCCCCAACCATTACATCCTCTTTAAACACTCTCAAGTCAAAGTCATCAGATCCTACAATTAGCTGTAAAAAATAAAGACAATTTTTTATAAATAAATATTGAACTGAGTAAGCAAGTAAGCTAACAGGCACATTAAAGTAGTGTCTTGAAATACCTCATTTTCTCCGTCAAGATCGTAGTCCAGCAATGCAAGTGATCTAACATTGTCGCCAGATACAGTCCAGTAGGGGTCATTACCTTTATAATCGAATCCTTGAATTGAACAGTTTCCTCCCACCAATGCCAGGGGATTCTCATATCCACTCAAATTCCCAACTACAATAACATTGGCTCCATCTGCAACCTGAATAAAATAGGAAATAAAATATGCACAAAATATAAAACACTTCAAAAAGAAAATACATGGAGTCAGTCCCAGTCATAGTACTTATTGAGCTCATTTACCAGTAATTGGGAGTATGTGCAAAGGAAAGTGGGGTTTCAGGGCTTTAAACAAGGCAAATAAATGTGTAATTTAAATTTTCACTGGGCCTGTTCACATTTGGCCCTCACCTCTTTGTAAAATAGATCTTTATTGCTTTCCACATTGTAAGCAAGAACACTTGACTGTGTTCCCACAATAAGAATGTCCTGTTCCAACTCAGGATGGAGACGACCAGCAGCAAGGGCAGAGACATTACGATTTACACTCAAAAGGGATATTTCTTTGTTAACTTGGCTCCAGGTTGTGGCACCAGTTATTTGTGATGCTGGGCCTAGTCGTCGATGAGGACTATGAATTAAAACCTGGTTAAAATGAAAAGGTATTTAAGAATCAGTTCATTAATGCACATTATTCTAAGGAATAAAATGAGGTGAAAATCCTCACCTTATCAGCTGTAGTTGCTGCTGTCAAGCAAGAATGAGATCCATCATATTTGCCGATGGTAACTCGACCAGGTAATATCTTACAGTTCAACTGAAGAGTAAATACAGGAACAGCCATTGCTAATTGTTACTCTTATTATTGTAATGACTTAAGTTACTGTAAAGATTCTGCAAATCACAAATCGTTGGCTCCCAATTTCTACACTCATACTGTACTACCTACATAGCATGTACTGTTGTGTTTTCTGTTGACATTCGCCGTTGCTATGGCAACAACAGAACAGACCGGTTATAGATGACGCATTGACGCATAGTATTTCTTCGGACGCTTTTATACTTTTGCCATTCAATTCTGTGTGTTCGACCAAAACCGTATGCTATTTTTAAATAACACGGAAAAAGTACTTGTCGTTTATTTCATTGAAAGTGTTTCTTTGAAATCAGAATAACACAGCATTACATTTCTTGCAGGTGGTTGAATTATGGCTAGTTTAATTACATATTTTGTTTGCCTAGTATATGCCACTTTTTCCTTATTGTCACTTGTTAGTTCTGTTGATGTCGATGAAAACGGATACATTGTGTACTGTCCATGCATGGGTAAGTTATTTTGTGGTTAGAAGGTAAACTTTCAGGGTGGGTACTGTCCTGCTTAGGTTATCATCTTGGAAAACTGTGTTCAAATAATAATAGCTATGACATTCTGCATTATTTACTGTATTTCCTTAAATAAATTCTGCCAGTTGAATTTTTACCTAGAGCAAACTTAAGGTTTACCGTATAGGTTTAGTTTTTAAAGGGTATAGCAACAGGTTGTTGGTTCGCACCAATATTGAATTTTCTATAAATAAATGCAATTCTGAGTTATTCTTTTACCCCTTAGGAAGATTTGGAAATCAAGCAGATCACTTTCTGGGATCCCTAGGATTTGCCAAAGGTTTGAATCGTACCCTTGTTTTACCTCCATGGGTTGAATATCGGTATGGTCAGCCGCGTTCTGTAAGTATTATATGCACCATTAAATATTTCCTTTGTAAAAACAACACATTATTTTTGATCATGCTTTTGTTTTAATTCACAGATTCAGGTGCCCTTCAATGTCTACTTTGATGTGAACAGATTGTTAGACTTCCATAAAGTTATAACAATGGAGTCTTTTATGCAAGATATAGCACCTCTCATTTGGCCTCCTGAAAAACGCACTGGTTGGTTTTGGTTTAGACTAAAGCTTTCTCATTAATCTTAGTATTATTTTCTGAGATTGTCTCCTATTTCTCCTTTTATAGCATTTTGTTACACAGTACGAGGAAATGGTGAGACAGAGAAGAGCTGTAACGCTAAAGAAGGAAACCCTTTCGGTCCATTTTGGGACACATTCAACATTGACTTTGTTGGGTCAGAATTCTATGGACCCTTGCATTATGATATATACCACTCAGACATGGCAAGTCGCTGGGCAGAAAACTATCCTCCTGGAGAGTGGCCTGGTAAAAAACAAACACACAAAGATTTTTTATATATTTTTAATGAATTTTTAGAAGCTACTATTTATAGAAATGTGTTTAACTGTTATCTTTCTTTTGTAGTCTTGGCATTTACTGGTGCACCAGCAAGCTTTCCTGTACAACTAGAAAATCGAGACTTGCACAAATATTTGAAGTGGAGTGAAAACATACAAAAGCAAGCCAAGTATTTTATCAAAAATAAACTACCTAAAGGAGCTTTCTTAGGCCTTCATTTCCGGAATGGCATAGATTGGGTTTGTGAAATTATTTTAGTTTAACTTTGTCTTCAGATCTTTAAAAACTGTTATTTTACCTGACTTGTTTGAATCATTTGCAGGTGAGGGCTTGTGAACATGTCAATCACAGCCCTAGCCTTTTTGCTGCTCCTCAATGTTTGGGCTACAGAAATGAAAAGGGGAAAGCTACACATGAAATGTGTTTTCCCTCAAAAGAAACCATTATCAAACAAATTAAGCGTCAACTTCGCAAGATGGCCGATAAAGCCACTTCTGTATTTGTGGCTTCAGACAGTAACCATATGATATCAGATTTGCAGGAGGCTTTAAAGAGACAACAGGTTTGACATTTTCTTAACATGTTTAGTGTGAAATTGTCTATTATCACTTTGATTTTAAGGGTTGAGACCAGCATGTGGTCACATTGCACTCAGCATGTTTTTATATTTATCTGCTTTTGCTCCACACTTGTCTTATGTTTGTAACAAATCTGCATTGATTTGATTCTACAGGTTACTGTTCACCGTTTAGAACCAAGCAATCCTCATGTAGAATTGGCTATTCTAGGGCAAGCCAACTTTTTTATTGGCAACTGCATTTCATCCTTCAGTGCCTTTGTGAAGAGAGAGCGAGATGCTGGAGGTCTTCCATCAGCATTCTGGGGCTTCCCTCCAGAGAAGTCCTCAAGTAATAAGCATGATGAACTGTAAAGTCCTACCCCAAGAGATTCCTAATGTATTTTAAATGTTATATTAACATTATTTTGTGGAGTGTTTTTATACTTCTTTGTATTGTTTAGTTTCATAATTACACTACATTGTGCCACTTGAGTAATTTTAAAACTGCTTCTATGATTAAACAACTTATCATCATTCTCTGTCTAGAGCTGAATTAAGAAAGTTTTAATTATCAGTGGTTTGTAATCTTTGTCATTATCTTCATAGGGCCCATTTACGATCGTTCGCGGAACCTTAAATTAAATTGACCAACGCGTTGTGGCTTATGGGAGTATCTACGATGCCAGCCCCTTAAATGAAATTCATTTCTTGTCGAAATACGGCTCACGCTTAAATGAAATGAAGACCGTCGTGATGGTCTTCATTTCATTTAAGCTAGTCCTTAGCTCAAATGAAATTCGGATTTCGGGCGCGAGGTTTCGAAACAGCCAATCAGAGGCCAAGACGAGACTAAACAAAGATGGCGCCGACGACAAGTGACAATCGATTCTGTCATGGCGGGGACTATAATTTTATTTAAGCTAAGGACCACCGTAAATGGGAGGTTCCATTTAACCCCAAAAATTAATAAATTTCTGCAGAAAATGCAATTTCATTTAAGACAGCCCGGACGATCGTAAATGGGCCCTAACAATTAATTCAACATTTGACTTAATGTTATCAAAAAGACTGGTACGCACTTAGAATTATGAGGGTCTACTTCCCTTACAGTCATGTGATACAATGTATTATTTTATATCTAATCTAAATTGTGTATTCTGTTCTATTTGGATGGTCTTGGCTTGTTTCTTTAAAAGTCTTCCAGTACCTGCTGATTCCCAGTAGATTTATAATTGTTTAAGGTTTTGTATTCTATTGTAAGTATTATATTATATTGAACTGTTCTTTCTGGTCATGAAATAAATTAGTCCATCAGAAAATTGTGTTTTTATGGTTTTTATCCTCCATTTTTTCAAGATCTTTTTCTAGCTAGAGAACTTAGTCCACTTATTTTTGCGAGTTCTGCTTGTCCGTTTTATAGTGCTGCACTCTGGTGGAGCAGAGGAAGGATCAGGTATCGGCGGGTGTCGAGATCAAGGCGGCCGTGGCGCGCCAGGCACGAAGCGGTACGGCGGTTACAATCAGCTGATGTGGACTTTTCACGGCCATTCTCTCTCCTTCGGTCGCGCCTATTGCAAAGTGAACCCTTGCGTTATTAATTAATAATAATAATAAAACCAAATGATTGCCACCGAGAGAAGAAATTTGCGATCGTAGGAAAGACCCAGGTTGTTTTATTTCACCGCCTTAGCAACTCCTCCAAGTTTGTTTGGGCTATAATCGATCGCAATAAGAGTCTGCCGAAATCAAAACAAACGGCGGAATCTCTGCGAGCAGGGCACCTTAATATGTTTCCAAGTGGCTCTGTAGTTCGTGTCGTCGAGTGGACAGACGCTTGCTGTAGCCCGTGCGTTTGTCCTGTGATGACTTATTGGTGACGTCCCCAGTACGAAACAATAACGAACATGGCAATGGACGGCAATTCGTGTGACTTGAGTGCGTAACGGTTACATTCGCCTCCGACCGGCCGAGGCGCGTCGCCTCAAAGAGAGAAGTGTGATGCCACTTCTGGTCGTGGCCGGAGCGCGGCCCGGGGAAGTCCGCGCCACATGAGGACCGCGACGGCGGCCGCGCCATGGAGCAGCCGCGCGCGCGCACCCCGCGGCTCGCCCGCGGCCCGGAGATGCGCGTGTACACCGAGCTGGTGGAGGGCCACACCCGGCTGCCGCCCAACCTGGCGCCGCTGCCGGACGTGCACGCGCACCGGCGCGCGCAGCACCAGCAGCAGCCGCACCCGCTGCTGGAGTACAGCCTGTCGCGCCAGCGGGAGGAGGAGATCCAGCAGTACCTGCGCCGCCTGGCCGTGCGCAACCGGCTGCACCTGCTGCGCACCATCGAGCCCGACGACGAGGGCCACGAGCTGCCGCACACCAACGAGAGGTGGGCGAAGGCGGCCGGGCCGTCCTGACGGGCGAGGCCGTGCCCCGTGATAAGCGATCACCCAGAAAGTGCGTCGTTTACGAAACGGCCACGTTTAGCTCCGAGCTAGCTCTCATAGCGCCTGATGGGTAGGCAACATCTTGCGCGCGGGGCATACGTGTACTGCGGGTTGGCCTACCCCGAGTATCGCAGGCGCCGAGCTGCCGCCGTTTGCCGAACAAATCTGACGCACTTTCTGGACGATCCCCAAGGTGTTTTGACCATTATCACGTCAGTGCCCCGTCCGTGGGGGGATGGGCGGGGTGGTGTGTGTGGGGGTACCACTCGACACAGAACCCTCCCTCTCTCCGTTGGGCCTCTTGTTCATTTCGACTCGTCCCCCAGGTACATCGCGCTGCTGCGCGACCAGGTGGAGGCCGTGGAGCCGCCCACGCTGCTGCACGTGTGGGTGGAGCGCATCTCGTCGCTGGTGCCGGCCCGCCTGCGCGCGCTCTACGCCGCCGAGATGAACGCCCTCTTCCTCGAGGTGCGCGACGAGTTCGACGACCACATCCACGACATGACGGTGCGGAGCATCATGGTGTTCCCCGGGGACGCGGCCCCCTTGCCGACGGCCGACTCGCTGTGCGGAAAGCCCCTGGGGGAGGGACGCACCGAGCGGTACCACGTCTTCCTGCAGCGCGTCGAGAGCCTCCGCGAGAAGCTCTTCATCACGCACCCGCTGGTGCGGGCCATCCTGCGCCTCGCCCACCAGCACATCCCGGAGCTGCTCAACGACTTCGGCAAGTACCGCGAGACGGGCGTCGTGGAGCTGGCCAAGCTCAAGTCCAGCATGTTCAACGACATGAAGCGCAGCGAGGTGGTCGTCACGCAGACCTGGTACCCCAAGATCGTGGCGCTCTTCTCCGAGAAGAAGGCGTTGGCGGGCGTGCCGCGCAAGCACTGGCCGCAGCTCCTCAAGTGCGCCTCCAACGTGCTGCGCGTGCAGGTGACAGAGCTCATGCGGCGCAGCATCGACCACTTCGTGGACATCATGAGTGACGAGGCCAAGATCCCCTTCTTCAAGCTGGACATCTTCTACGCGGAGAACGGGTTGGAACTGTACCCCACGGACAAGGAGATTTTCGGCACAATGGCCAAGGCAGGCACTAGACTTTTACTGAGAGTTGATTTTAGTCTTGAGTGGAAGTAACCCTCCCCCTCTCCCCCCCCCCCGGATATCTGCCAGGTGGTGGAGTCCATCGCGACGATCGCCCAGGAGCTACCCTCCCTGGAGACGTGGGTGGACGTGAGCTCCCGAGAGGAGCTGATCCCGATGAAGATCTGCGAGCCTTACCTGGCGGAGATGCAGGCGCGGCTGCTCGGCAACCTGACGCGCCTCTTCCAGCCCGTCAAGGACCACCTCGACACGCTGGCCGGCCAGTTCAACGTGCTCTACAGCGACCAGCTCAAAGCGGTACCATGTACTTCCGTGTGTCGGGGCTACGACACAGAGCAGTGTTGAGGGTTTGCCTACCCTGGGGGCCCTACACCGCCGTATGAAGCGAGTGGGCAAACTCGCACACCGCTGTGTCGTAGCCCTACACACTACGACAGCCATCGGCACAACCGTCTTCCGCGACCTGCTCTGCCTTCACTTTCGCGCTCGGTTCGTAGGAAATCGAGGATTACCTGTCGGAGAGTCACGAATTCGAGGAGCTGCGAGAGAAGATCGACTACTTCAATGGCTTCCTGGACAGCATTTCCGACATGGTGCTCAACGAGTACTTCCCCGTCGCCAAGCTGTGTCAGTACGACGTGATTCGCTCACTCAAGGGCTTCGCCACCCACTTCATTGAGACCATCGTCACGGACATGGTGAATGAACACAAGTCAGAGAACCGCAAGATCTGCGAGGCTTTCGAGGAGATCGTAGAACGAGCGCAGAAGGTAAAGGGAAAACTGATTTGTTTTGTGGTAGGGGTGGGGAGGGGGAGGAAAAAACTCATGGAATTCTTAACTTTGTCGCCTAGGTGCCGGCGGACACGGCCGAACTCATGGCGAGCGGAGAGTACATGCTGTACGCCACGACGACCCTCATGGAGGAGCTCCACGCGCGCATCAGGCGCCAGATGGAGATCACCACGATGTTCATGGAGCTGACGGGGCTGGACGATGAGCACATGGCCCTCAACACGGCCATCGTCACCTGGCAGACGGACATCAAGAAGACCTTCGAGCTGAACGCGTCGCTGTACGAAAAGTACAAGGTCCGTGGTCCGGGTCCGGGAGAGAGGCGGGGGG